GGACAACGTTGGTCTTTGACTGATTGTGGCGTAAAACACACTTATTCATTTACTTATATCGGAAATTGAATGTTCATCTTAATTGTTATTGTTGAACATGTAATTAATATATTTTTAAAGAAATAAAACAGTGACATAATAACTACAACTTTATGTGAGCGCGAGTAGCTTTTTTGGAGTGAGATGAATAAGTCTTATAAAGTTGTAAGCTTCTTCACAACCGTGTAACTATGAATTGACTTTATTGGGTAATCAAAAAAGAGATAGGACATAAAATAGCCAAATTTCATACGATTTCACTTGTCCACCATCTTGGATGCAAGGCGAAAACATTTCAGCGCGTTTGAAGCCACTGAGAATGCCCCCTGCAGAGTTGGACGAACATTCTGCGGTGGCGCGGCTGAGTTGACCAGAGGCTATCAGCAGTATTTCCTGTCCAGGTTATTTAGGTCAGTTGTGTGTGTGTGTGTGTGTGTGTGTGTGCGTGCGTGCGTGCGTGCGTGCGTGCGTGCGTGCGTGCGTGTGTGTGTGTGTGTGTGTGTGTGCGTGTGCGCGCGCGCGCGTTTGGGTGTGTGCGTGTTTGCGTGCGTGCGTTGGGGGGCGGGGGGAGCGTGGGGGGTGAGATTGGGGGGATAGATGATAGATATAGCAACAAGTAAGGTCATCTTGAGTGGGAGGGTATTCGCAGATGGATTAGCATATGAACTATGATTCTCTTTAGGCAGAAAATGAGGATCCACGATGTTCGACCGGGTAGAAGTGTGTTATCAAACCTCACAGCATTGGTTTCTTGACTGACTGTAGCGTCAAAACAAACTCATTCATTTACTTGAACTGAATGTTCATCTTAATTGTTATGGATAGTCACGGAGCCATGATCCAGAGTACAGGGTGTCATTAGATAGAAATAAACTAAGTTATAATAGGATTACCAGAAAAACGGGGTTTTACACACAAGCCAATAAACTTCGCTCATTTACACCAGAGTAAGTCAGTACAAGATTGAAAACTGCCCCATAATTATGTATGACATGCTTGTCGGGTATTGCTACATATATATGTGAAAACAAAGTTATTAAAATGAAGAGCAAAACTGATGAAAGTTAACAATAAACGTGTATACGTGTTATATCGTCACTGCAAACATAATGATTGTTTGTCTTTAGTATTAACATTCAAATACGTTATATCTGTATTAGCGATATTGTCTTTGTTCTACCGGTGAGTCAGCGTTAGCCGTACTATCTCGTAGTATAATTGTATTTCTGAAGACATCACGATACAGTTTTTACGATGCATCACGTCTGCACTAGCGCTTGATAACAGCCTTGTGTTTGGGTGTTTCAGTGGTTTAAATCGCTGCTCTTGATATTGTTGATTAAACTTTGATACTATGAACAATATAATGTTATGTGAGAGGTTGACTTTAGAACGGTAACATACTAATAGTATATAGGATGACATAAACAGAACAATGAGAAGTTCGTCCAGATTAGTGTATAGGCAACATTTAATAATTAAAATAATTACATTCAACAACTCCCCTTTTAAGTCCATTTTCCTGACTTATATGCAAGAACAATCGGCCGGAATACAATGTATAGTTCTTGTCCACTTCCATATGACTATATAGCATACAATAAGCTATCGGGTCCCGTTTAGATCGGTTTGGGTGGCAGCCTAGATAGCCATAGAATAGTTTCATCTTGGAATCTCCCATATCACTGGGGATACTCTTCAATTTAAATGGAGTTACTCGTTACGATTCCGAACCTTCACGTGACTGTGTTTATGAACCATTGTCAAATAGTGGTGACATTAAATCTAGGAAACAATACGCGAAATCGCGCATGCACAGAACGGAAAATTTGGTCAAGGCATTAAGTAATCCGCATGCGCAGAACGATTGATTTCAGTACTTCCGCTAAGCGCTTCGAGTACAGCGTCAAACGCGGGCCTGTAATCTAAATCTGACCAATGAAAACTGAGAAGTAGAAATACCGGTAGACGCTGTTGCTTGATTGACAATGTCAATCAAGAAAGGGAGGAGCTTAACGCTATCGTCCTCTCCCAGTAAATTCCGATGTCAAATAACGACGTTATTTGGACGGAAAAACGATGGTTTAAAAACGTCCAAATAACGTCGTTTTTCCGTCCAATGACCATATACGGAAAAAAACGACGTTTTCGTGTTTGCAGTATACTGAACCTTATTTCCGGAGCAACCAAGAAGTTATAACTGAATCTGAGTCTATAAGCGCATCATTAGATACATCAATTCAGAGAATACGTGAAACTTTAGATCGCTGGACTAATAGAGTTTCGGGTCGGGGTGTGGATAAAATCGATAGTTTATATTAAGATATAGCAAATTATATGCCTTTCCAAGGAGGATCTTATAAAGATTTACCATCGTATTATAAAAAGAAAACAACTATAATAAATGTAAAAAATAAAGGCGATGACTGTTTCAGAATGATGGCAAGATCTGCATTGTTCCCCGCAGATTCTAAAATTGCAAATAGACCTTCTCTCTATCCCCGACACGACGGACTCAACCTTGGTGGTATAGACGAACCTACACCAATCTCGCAAATTGATAAGGCAGAAAAGCAAAATAATTTAGCTATAAATGTTTACGGACATTCTCCTGAAGGAATTGTTGTACACAGGATAAGCTCCGCTCCAGAGCATATTCCCAGAATCAATTCATTTCTGATTGAAAAGATGGTGAATATGATTATACGTGGATAAAGAGTTTAAGCAGGCTATTAAGCGATCAAACAAAGCATAAGAAAAAACATATTTTTGTGAAAGATGCCTGCATGGGTGGGTACACCAGACAAGATCTATTAGAAGCGCATAAAGAAGACTGCAGAGGTGTTGGACAGACAGACAGATCGATATGTCTAAAGAAGGTAAAAATATATTGAAATTTGAACATTATTGTAATCAAATGTCAGTACCGTACATAATTTACGCTGCCTTCGAAGCACTTATTAAACCGATAGAAAATACCGAACACAATACTGAATGTAGTTTTACGTTCAAAACTCAAGAACATATTCCTCGTGGGTTTGGATATGTAGTTGTAAGGTATGATGGGAAAACAAACCCGACCGTGATTTACAGAGGTCCCTATGCAGCGGGAAAGTTCCTATAATATTTACAAATCGAAGAGAGAATAATCAGAGAAAATTTATCTCGTAAAAAACCCATGTGTATGACAAGGGATGATTGGAGGGCCTATAAGAAGTCAACGATTTGTCATGTTTGTAATAAACCCCTGAATGGGGATTCCGTAAGAGATCATTGCTACGTCACGGGTAATTATTGGTGAGCCGCACATAACGAGTGTAACTTGAAACTAAAAATGAATTCTCAAACAATACCCATCCGAGTTGTGTTTCACAACCTTAGGGGATATGATTCTCATCCCATCATTCAAGCTATCCCAAAGACTGACGGTGGCTTAACGTACATTCCTAATAATATGGAAAAATACATATCATTCTCGTTGACTAAAACTATACATTATACGGAGAAAGGGTGGGAAAGCTAGAATAAAGCAAAGTAATGGGCTTAGATTCATAGACTCCGTACAGTTTCTGTTGTCTTCCCTGGACAATGTAGCTAATGCGAACAATCCCGATGACTTTGCGATAACAAATCAATATACCGACAGGTTAACACGGCATTTGTTGTTGAGAAAAGGTATATATCCTTACGATTATATGGATGATTGGTCCAGATTCGATGAAACTAAATTACCACCCCTTGAATCATTCTATAGTAACTTAACAAAATTTAAAATAACCGATGCCGATTATGAACACGCTCTGACGGTTCTAATTAGGTTGTAATGAGTATTCTTGACTTGTCAAAACACTTAATGTATGACTTTTATTACAACGAACTTAAGAAGCAATACGGCGATAGATGCGAGGTGTTATATACCGATACTGATTCCTTGTTGATGGAAATACAAACCGAGGATGTATATAAAGATATGGCAGAAAAAATAGATATGTACGACACGAGCGATTACCAAAAAGATAATCCACTGCACAGCGTGGTAAATAAAAAGGTATTAGGTAAGATGAAGAATGAATGTGCTGGGACCCCTATAGCGGAGTATGTAGGATTAAGACCTAAGATGTATTCTATGAAGGAGTCTGATAATGGGAAGATAAGAAAAGCTAAGGATGTTAAGAAGTATGTTGTGAAAAAGCATATCAAACACTAACAGTATAAAGAAGCATTATTCAATGGTAGAACATTCAAACACGAGACGAACACTTTAAGAAGTGACAATAACAGGATATATGGATTAAGAATGAACAAGACATCATTATCCCCCTTAAATACAAAGAGATTGATTGATAATGATGCTGTAACTAACTATGCTTATGGTTATGGCAGTAATACTGTATCGTTTGGAACTATGAGCAACTCTTCTCGTACAAATCCCCTGCCCGGTCCATCTTTAAGATATTAAAGAATAGGCTCTTCTTCTTTCATAACCAACCGACTATATTAATGTTATATATCTTAAGAGACTAAATCGGATCGGTTTCCAATATCCTTGTGGGCTATAGTAAATTTTATCCATTATTACTTAATATTGTTGATTCTTTTAATACGAATCATGATGATCGTTGAATCACATCATCACTTTTTGCATGAAGAATTCCCTCTGTAGTAGCAGTATAGGTATATATATCTGGCTCCAGTATTGTTGCGGCAGAATACCCAGTACCTATACTACTTACTCAGTTACGCAGCGAAAAATAGTTCTATGGATATATATAACATAATCTGAAAATATGTCAACATCAACATAATTTTATTCTCTGAAGAAATTGACAAACAAAATTTGGGATTAATCAAATTTTAAAAATAGGTCACAGGAACGTGAACCAAAATATATACATCCCCTCGTTGCACCAAGATGAGGTCAACCTTCACGCGCGGATTTATTTATGACGTCACATAAGCTTTAAAGAGGTGCATTTCGAGTCGAACGGGAGCATGAGGATGAAATTTATACCTACTGCTGTTGAAAATGAAGTTTATGGAACAGTTATGGAAAACACCCCGACGCATGAACCCTTCCATGGCACCAGCTAATTGGGAATATGACTGATTTATGAATGTGTTGCTTGTGTTTGGATAATCGCGAACCAATTCGAACAATGTGGAATGGACTGGTGGGGATTGAACGGAGTGCTCTGAAACTTGTGTGTTTTGTGTTAATTTTCAACGTCAGGGTCTGTTATATTTGGAGTTTGTGATTTGTCGTGTGTGCTGTAATACTTTGCTTAGCTGGTGTTTCTTGTCACCTGAGATGGGCCTACTGTATGACCTGATGCCAGTCTTCGTTTCTGTGCCCCGTCAGCCGCCGCTTCTCGGCCTCAAATGCACGGAGAAGGTCCGCCAACTCAGAAACCGGAATGGTAATTCCGTCTGCAGATATTGGGAGTAGTGCACTTTACAGATCCAATTAGCGCTGTTGGGGCTTGGCTAATTAGTGCGTTAATTGGCCGACGCTCTACCACTGGACCACAAGCGCTATAACATGTAATCAGTGCTCGTTTAACGGTAAACAGTTACATGCGCATGCGTGTGACATCACGGTCCGCCCTCCCATTAGTCTTTTTTTTGGAAACCACACCCGCCATTGTTTATGTCAACATGACCGACCAATCGGATTAACCGGATTAACGCTTGAAAAGGTAAGAATGTATGGCCTACCCTTGCCCTAAGCAAGCTAACGGGCCGCGCGCAGGCAGCATTACACAATTGGGCCAATGCTGGCTGAGCGTTGCCAGTATCGCCAGTGCCCGCTCTCGCAGCACTGACCCATCCATCAGCCGGACAACGTGTGCCAGCCAATGCCAGATAACAACTCGGCTGGGTTCCGCTCACACCCTCGCCAGGCGACAGTAGCCCCATACAGTGCCACGCTTTTATCCGTAATCTGCCCTGAACACTCAAAGCTGATATTAAGGATGATATATATATATATATATATATATATATATATATATATATATATATATATATATATTGTTTGGTCATGAGTACTAAAATAAGGAATTTATCCCTCTGGTAATTATTTAGAGAACTCATATTATTATAGTAAGGAATAACTGTTTGTGTATCACTTTACCGCGGATCACGCTAACGGTTACAGTCCATTCTACAAGTCGGTCATTCTTCCTGTTGACATCTTTGTCTCCGAATTTGTCCATTTCAACAACAGTAAGTATGATTTCATCAATCTACAGATTCCTCTAAACAGATTACCGCTTTGGTGTAAAATAAGTATAATCTCCGTAATGATCAGAACGAAGAAAGAGCTATTAATGAGATAATTAATTTCATGAAATCTGATATACTGGCGCCATAGTAAAAAAGTGTGGTGTGTACATTGGTCTACTTTTGTTCGTGTAAATATCTGTGAATGTAGTTTAAAAGTCATAGTTTCTCATGTAATAGTTTCATATTTCTATACCTCAAGATATGCTTTGAACTCAAAATAGCTAGGCTATACTGCGAAATAATGTTATTTTCTTGAAAACAAATATATTACCGATAACCAATATTATTAAACTTCATTCATAATCCGCAACAACACTTCATTCAAACTTAAATGTTCGTTCGTTCGTGTTCTGTTATTTTATCTACAAATTCTATGTTAGCTGTCTCCATAATCCGAATATGTAATTGAAACTACACGATGCATGTTTTACATATATCGTATTCAACGTAATAAGCGCCCAGGGAGATCTCAAAATTAGAAATAGGGGGCTCTTATTATAACATAATTTTGGTGAAAACAGTTGAAAGATTGTAAATTCGTGGTTTATGCTGACAGCCCGAAATGATAAAAAAGAAAAGTATGTGCGTATTATACACGAAAAGATATATTTTCCAGAATTTAACTGCCCATAATTAAGGGTGCATATAACACACGAGTGCGTATAATAAACGAATAAATAAGTCTTGTGTACATTGATCGGAAGGGGTGCTAATTAGGATTGTTCAGTAGCCAATATATTAGCAAATATATTGTACCGTTATATATAGTGATATCTTTTATAGTTGTATGCTAGTTTTAAATATTAATCTGTGATATTCTAGTAATTTTACTGTCCATCGTTGACAGCTTTTTATGTTGTATACATTTATGTATTATTAATGTACTTCTCGTCACGATATGGCTGAAATACTGCCGATGTGACGTTAAATCATAACTCACTCACTCGCAGTGGGCGCTTATTAGAGAGGGGCGCTTATTACGTCGAAAACGGTAGGTCTAACAACTTGGTGTCATCGGGGGTATGACCGCTGCAGTCACGGTGAGACGTTCTTAATTCGCCTCAATATGTTTCTTGATAATTGCTAAGACATGAAACTGTCTTGAAAACAACTTGAAACAATGTAACATTTATTTTTAGCCTTTCAGTGTAAAACGTGGCAATTCTTGTGCAATTCAATGCATGGAACTGTTTGTGTGAAGTAATTAACACCATTTTAGTAGCTTCTGTCTTGTCAAGTATGTTGCAGAAGCCACCCGAAAGAACCCACTGGCCACAACAACCAACAATGAAATAGAAGATAATTTTAGAAGATGAAACTGTGGTTTCGCGGTGCCCCTGACAGGGACGGGGGCAGAAAAGAGGGGATCCTAAAGTCCTTACAGAAGAAGGCACCGGCTATTCCTGGTGGAGAGTAGCTTGCGGAACCAGACTAGGAAAACTTTAAACTAGAGACATTTAGTTTATAACTGTGTTCACATTCACATCATTAATGTTCTGTGAGGCATATTTATTCAAATATTAGCTATTTACATGTAAATAAACAAGGAGATGGTTCACCCTGTTGTTTGTTACATTTTTCTGACTATGCAGGACTTCCTGAACTGGATTTGCATTATATAGTTTTATGGTAGACTGACTAAAAATTTCTTTAGTTCATAGCTTTTGTTTTGATTGACCCGCTGTTCTTACATCTCTTAGACCTTTGATTCAGATTTTGTTTTTTTTCAAACAAAATAGAAAAAAACAACCTGACAATCTACATTTAAAGTCACTGAAAAATAATCATTGATAATTCCTATATAGCAAAATATGTAATAAATTCAGTTGCCATCTTAAATATCCATTCATTCACACCAGCATGATCAAATTTGTAATTCAATTTTAAACACTGAGGTGAGCCTGCTAATGAGTTTCTCTGAAATCATTATAAGTTCTTCACGGACGCATGCTTGACTGTGGACTACTGACCATAGTTTGAAATGACAGGAAAGGTAATTTTAAACTTGCCAACATTGGGCCAACATTGGGCCAATGGTGGCTGACAAATGGCAACCAGTGATGGGCCAATGCTGCCCCATCGTTGATAAACAACATTGGCGCATTGCCGGCAAACGACATTGGCGCAATGTTTATTGCGCCATTGGCCCACTGTTGGCCCAATTGTGTAATGCTGCCTGGCCTAAGGACCGAAAAGAGATGTTGGATCGTAAAGATGTGTAAGTTTCCCTAAAACCGAAAAGGGGTGTTGGATCGTGAAGCGAGAGTCACTGGGGCGTGAGCCACGGTAACGGTATAGCGAGAGAGCGGACGCGCTATATCGCGGTAATGGAGCGAGATGGGAGAGCACGGCCTGTGCCCGGCATTGTTGGTTGGTTGGTTGGTTTGTTGTTTAACGCCGCACTCAGCAATATTCCAGCTATATGACGGCGGTCTGTAAATAATCAAGTCTGGCCCAGACAATCCAGTGATTAACACCATGAGCATCGATGCACGCCATTGGGATCGATGACATGCATCAACCAAGTCAGTGAGCTTGACCACCCGTTCCCGTTAGTCGCCTTTTACGACAAGCATAGTCACCTTTTACGGCAAGCATGGGTTGCTGAAGACCTATTCTATCCCCGAATCTTCACGGGTCAAACTGCATTGTAAAACAGGTAGGTAAGGTTTCTTTTGTTTTTTAATTTCAGTATCTTTCCCTTACCTTTTTATGTTTTACGGTTTCTCATTATTTTCCCTGATACAATATATATAGTGAATCGGGTTTTAGCTTTGGGTTGATCAGGAGCAGTCGCTTTGATCTGTGTCGGCGGCACCATCTGAGCAGGGTAAAACATTGTTTTCATTCGCAATTGTCTTGGTGCTAGATTCCTGTCATTTCGAAAACAAGGCATCAAAGTCAGTATCTCTTAATAAATCAATTTCATTCACCTCAGTAATTTTACTGAATTTATTTTCTTCACTTGCGTTATTAGTATAAATAATTGATAGATAGCCATTCCATATCCAAATCACCGTAAGGACAAACCATTTTGTTTCATCTAGCAGCTAGAGACATTAAACACAAGAACCAAAGTATTTATTTATTTTTAGAAAGATGAAATGTTACAAGAACAGGAAAAATACTTAATTAATTATATTGCTGATAAATGCAGGGATTAAAAAGAAAATAGAAAAACGAGTTGATTGTAAACACCGATCGAGAATTCGGAGAAACCCCGGAAAGTAGTTCCGGCAAAAGCTCACACGATCAATTTCTCAAAAAGCTTTTCTCTTCGTTCACAATATCAGATCACTCCAAATATCAGATCACGTGACTACCCCTTCAGTCAAGCAGCATGAAAGAAACAGTGTAAACTTTATGGCATGAAATTATTTAAGAACTGACTTTCGCTTTGTGTGAGTTGCAAGCTCCGACGTTCATACAGTTTGGCCCTCACTCTATGAAGGTACATACTCCAATGAACTCGCACAAAAGTGAAAGTCAATTCTTATAATTTTTGTTTCACTATTTTGTACGTCAAACGGTCTGGATCTATACTCAATACTTAATACGTGTGACTTCATGTTTACACTGACAGCCATACAACAACCAGCTGTATCAGCTGGAAAACAATAGTTCCTCAAAACGAGAGGTGACATGCACGTATGTATGCTCAATATGCTCTACAGGAAGAACTTTTGTAGTTTCTTTCCAACAAAGAGACTTAGTCTCCGAAATCTTCTATTACACAATATCCTTCTTGACACTAAAAATAGAAAAGCTAGCTTGAGCTGGCTAGACATGCTTTTGTATGTGTTTCTAGATATTTTTTTGTTCATACAATAAATATATTCCCCGGTCGTGGTGTGAAATAGAGCTAGCTAGAACTGGCTAGACATGCTTTTGTACGCGTTTCTAGAATTTTTTTTTCTCATAAAATAAATATATTCCACGGTCATGGTGCAGGACTACTGAAGACTGTCACTGTTAGCCTAGACGCGGATCGAGTCGATACTTTGATAGTGTTGAAGTGCATATCTTCGATTTGTTCACCAAGGTTTGGTCGTAGCGAGGATATTCGTAAACGATCACGCAGTCAAACTGTCTGACGTTGCTCAATGTATACTGAAACGCTGAGTATAAGATTAAAAGGTCTAAATGATCAGAAAGAACGCTTCTGTATGTACTCATGCAAGTGAATTCCCAGGGTAGTCCGTCAGTGTTTACGTCATTTCAAGAACACGGTCTCGTGAAAAACGTATGAGCGTCAAATTGTGACGTGTGTACACTTATGAACGTCAAATTCGCGGCCACGTGCTCGATCTCTCGTTCAATGGAAAAGCCGTATATCGTGTAAACTTCAAATTAAAAAAAAAAATTATTAATAAAGTCACGAAGATGGTTTCTTTAAAAATTAATGTCTTTA